CACAAGGCTGAAAGTATGGAGCACCCAATGAGGATCGAACTCACTACTCAGTTGTAATTGATATAGCAAGACAATCTTTCTAACCATTACACCATGTCGAGGTACCCTACTAGAGTATAAATAGTAACCTACCAAACAAACTTGTTCAAATGGATGGCACAACAGAGGTGGGAGGGATGGTGATAAGACAAACCTATCTAAGCTATAAAGGATAAGGAGTTGTGGAGAGCCATGATTTCCCACATCCTGAAAGAATATGACACACAGAAGCAGTTCAGAAGATATTAATTTATACTTATGGGTTATCATATGCTCACTTTTATGCTTATATGACAAAGTCAAACTCACTCTCCTTTACAAAGACTATAAGAAAGTACTTGAGCACCTTGAGGTGGTGTAATGGTTAAACAAGCTTGTCTCGCTAGAACAATTATGACTGTGTAGTGAGTTTGATCCTCACTGAATGCCCCATACTTTCAGCCTTGTGCTACGCTTGGAAAATCACTATAAGAAAGTACTTACATAATAATATAACAATGATAGAAAAGTGACTGAAGTAAGTGTTCAGTCACCTTTCCTTATTCTGATGTGATGAAGGCTTGCTTGAATTTACAAGTGTCTCATGAGACAGCTGAAATATGGATGATTAAATATAATTGACCCTGTAAGTATTCACAATGACAAAATAAGATTCATAACATTAGATCCAGTGACTAGACCTAAAGCGTTGAGACAGCAGTGAATATGCAACTGTTTTACACACCCACACAATTTCAAAATATCTTTGCTAACCTTATGGCTCTTCATAACTTCCTATCCTTGGTAGTTCTTAACAATGTTTGTCTTTTTACTTCTTATTCTAGCATCCATTTTTACAAGCTTGTTCTGCTATCCATTTTTCAAGTTTGTTCTGCCATCCATTTTTACAAGCTTCTGAAAAGAGTTTATTTGCTGTTTCTCCATGCTTCTCTTGCGTTCATTAGGTTCTGTGAGTGTCACATTCTCCAAGCCCTTTTACACTTTATGTGTCCTAGAAGGTTACTGAATAGTATAATCACATGTATTTTTACAAGCAAATTAAGAGAAATAATACTTATCATACAATGCATAAGAAGATTAATGGTAATATTATACATTTGCATCAATAATGCTAAATGAATCAAATTAGTTTTTGCTGACCCTCTTTTCTAAGCCCTCCTTCCTCATTATGTGTCGTAGAAATTTCAACTGCTTCTTTTTGATGTTTTGCTTATATTATTGCCATCAATTCTGTGGAGGTTTTTATCATTAATGTCGTTGTTATTTTCAATATACTTATCTATTTGATTTTGTTTATCCACCTAATCTTCTAGAAAATAATAATCTCTTTCAGGTAATCCTCCTACAAGCAGGTTACAAGCATGTATATTATTGACCAGTGTGAAAGGTCATCTAAGTAAATAACATGGGTGGTCATGACACACAGCAGTATTAGATCTTATAAAACTAAGCCTGGGCCCAATGGCTTACAGCATTGAATATGCAACTGTTTTACACACCCACACAATTTCAAAATATCTTTGCTAACCTTCTAAGCATCATAAATCTTTATTGATTGCTTTGAAGGAGAGGATAACCTTAACAAAAAGGTGGTCTTGCCTATATTTAAAAAAAATAAATCTTTCTACCGTGTCCCTTCAGGACATGGGCGATTATGGCTCTTCATAACTTCCTATCTTTGGTAATTCTTAGCAATGTTTGTCTTTTTACTTCTTGTTCTGCCATCCATTTTTACAAGCTTCTGAAAGAGTTTATTTGCTGTTTCTCCATGCTTCTCTTGCCTTCATTAGGTCCTGTGGTGTCAAATTCTCCAAGCCCTTTTACTTTTTATGTGTCCTAGAAATTTGAACTCATTCTGATTCTATGTATTACTAGTCTTCATGCTTTCATTTTCCTTAAAACATTGCTCACATGATCCATTCAGATATTCTCAGCATCCTTCTGTAGTACCAAATATCAAGTCTCCTCTTCATTTGTGAGAAAATTGTCCATAATTCATTGCCATATATGAGGACTGATATCTAAGAAAAGTCATTTTTAAATAATATGGTAGTTTTAAATAGTTTGGGTTAATAATTGGTAAAATCCTTATTTATTCATGAAGAAAAAACAGGGTGTAGCAGAAATACTCCCCACATAATAAAACATTAGTGGAAATGGTGTTTTTAGCTACCTAGTGTCTTACCATTATGTGAAAGGTATTTTTGCCATATCCTATATGTTATAATTTTGGCTAATCCTCATCACCAAACTGTTGTAATCAAGGGAAGGTTACGGAATAGTATAATCACGTGAAGGTTGGTAATGAAAAATAATACAAAGATGGTACTTGAGTGAAAGGAACAGAAACATGGGTATAGAAGAAAGAAAGAGAGGTTTATTGTAAAAGAGAATACACTACTGAAAGACAGAGAATCATGTAGTAGGCTAGTAATTCCCAAAAGCAAGTGCCCAGGTATATCCTGGGCTCACTATATATATATCTACTGATATAGTCAGTCCACAGAGGTGTGATAGGGAGTGTGGGACATTCCATTACAACACTTTTGTAAATGAATGGCAGAACAAGAATTGAGAGGAACAGCAAAAAGACAGACCTTACTAAGAGCTACGAAGAATTGGAAATTGTGGAGAGTGTTCATAGCCGAGTACATAGAAGAAGAATAACAACAGCCAAGATGGGCTTGCTACTATAGACAGAAAGTCATGTAATATTGATAAATTGAATTCCATCATTACACACTGGCTGATAGAATGTTATTTGTTGAATACTCAGAACATATTAATATGAGCAATGAGAAAGTTTTTAGTAAACGAGAAACAGAAAGGACACTTAGAATTAGAAACGGTGCAAAATTCCTGGAGAACATGAAGAAGTAAGTGAACTTGAAGAATTTGGCACTCAAAAGACATACTGTGAATAGAGTGAAAACGACAGGTAACCAACTTAATGAGCTCATGTCAATGGATAGCAAAACAAAAATTAAGAGAAATAATACAGGAACAAATATTAAGAGCTATAAATAAGTAGAAGTTGTAGAGAGCAAAGATCACTCATGTCCTGAAGAAGGGAGGCAGTCAGTTATGTGCCATGCATGATACACGCTTAGGAAAGCATGTATCTTTCGATACATGACTGACGAGGCAGATTTTTTTTTCTCTGCACTAGGTTGCCATTTCTTTCTGTTGTAGATCAGTTGCCATCTCAGACTATAGAACCCGGCCTCTCCTGCTATTTACCCATAGCTGGGAGAGAGGTAGAAGATTCATACCTTTCCCAAGGGTCAGTCAGTACAGTTATGTGCCATATGTGATACATGCTTAGGCAATCATGTATCTTTTGATACATCACTTATGAGGCAGATTTTTTTCTCTGCAGTAAATTGCCATTTCTTTCTGCAGTAGACCAGTTGCCATCCAGGCTATAGAACCCAGTCTGTCCTGCTATTTACCCATAGTTGGGGAAGAAGAAGAGGATTCATACCTTTCAGAAGGGTATTAGCATGTAAGTGAATGTAATGAATTCGACTGGAATTCAAACTCGGTTCTCCGATTCCTCAATCCAAGCCGCTATCCATTACTTCACCATGCCTCCTGAAGAGGCCTAATGCATAAAAGAAATACACAGAAATGAAGTCTTTGATATTTTATGAGTGCAAATAAAATTATGAAACAACTTAGAAGCAGCATTTTGTTGGTGGCATAAGAGAAAGTATTTGAAAATAAGACTTTGTATTATCACCACCATCAACAATGATAGGGTAAAAAATGTAATATCTGGTGTGAGTTTCTTCATTTCAAATCTTTCTTTTTTTAATCTAGCAGATTTCATTTTAGATTTTTATTCTTTTCTATCACTTTTGTTAGTAGATATCTCATACTATGATAATAGAAGTTCCACCAGGAAAAGAAAGAAAGTATCTAAAATAAATCAGCTAGCTTAAAAAAAGAAAATTTTAAAAGAAAAATATATATATATATATATATATATAAGAACAATATAAAAACAATGTAAAAATTTGTTATGTATCAAGAAGAATTTTAAGGACAATTATGACAAAGGGAAAACATTTTTTTGTGATATTTTGTCCTTGATGACTATATCAGATTAAAGTGATGTTTACATTGTTTACATGTATAGTGACATCAACAAAGTCCAATTAAATCCTAAAGGAAAACAATGCATCAAAGGAAAACTTTTTCCATCTTATAGTTTTCCCTATATATATATATATATATATATATATATATATATATATAGATGTGTGTGTGACTTGATGTTAGCATGAAACAGACTGTCACCCCTGGGTGTTGGCTTCAATGTCCACTTTTATATTTACATATGCTCTATCCCTAATATTGAGCATTTTAACCCATAAATATAGCATGCCTTAAAACTATATATATATATTATATATATATATATATATATATATATATACACACACACACAAGGTGTCAAAAAAAACAAAAACAAAAAAATGTGCAGTCAGTTTTTGACTTCATCATCATTTTGAATATTTATAACATGCATTTAATTTCATTTAATATTTAATTTAAGTCATTAATCTTCTTCGTAAGTCAATAAACATTAATACTTCTTAATTTTAACCACAAATATTGTTTGCAAGTCAATAAACACTGCATTGTCATTTAAAGTTACATTTTTGGAGGATGCCCTGTATACATATTTTGATCAATTTGTTTCTTTAAGGATCATCAACCTTTTATAGGTTTTGAATAACCTGCAAATATTTGGGGATTGTAAGAAGTTTTAGAAAGATACTGATTTTGAGATACATGTTCTACTATTTAACTTTAAGAGGCAGATTTATAACTTTCATATTTTCATATTTATATTTTCACATAAACAAATATAATGAACCCAACTGAAATTAGAACTTGGCTCTCCGTAATCTCTATCTTAGCCATGTATCTATTACACCACCCTCACATCCAAGCTTACAGCACCTAGTATTCCTAAGCAGACATCCATCTAAGTACTGACCAGGCTAAATGTTGCTTAACTATGCTGATCAGATGAGAATCAGTGTTTTAGTATGATATGGCTGTAAGTCTATATATTTTAATACATGATACTAAAAATTATTTCATTGGAACCAAGTTGAGAATATTACAGTTACTGATACCTGAGGCAAATTCTACTCCAGGTATTAAGTTCCTCTTGAATTATAAAACATGTCTGTCTAGAAGAACATGACATGGTTACAAAATAAACAAACATGAAATAAACACACAAAAAAACTAAACCAAATGGCCTTGGTTTTTTTCAATCCCACCATTTTGAAACTGATGAATGCAGGCAAAATATTCCAGAGAAATGAGCTGGCAGGCATTTTTTATTACCTGCCTGGTTCCAATTCCTTCTTATCTAGTGGCATCCAGCAGAGCACGAGATCTGACTTCTTTAATGCCTGATTGAAGGACAACAAATACACAGGATGGAAACCAAGTTTGGAAATCATAAAGAGAAAAAAAAAAAGGCTTTTTCAATCTTTGAGACTTGTTCAGACATGGTTTAAAAATAAAAAAAAATTTTTAAAGATTTTTTAAAAGATTACTCAACACTTGAGCTTGTTAACCCTCTAAACTTTTTTTGGCCATTAACTTTCCACCCAGTCAATTTACAGATTAATAATAATAATGTCAAAAGACTTTTAGTCATAAGTTATATTCTAATTTCACAATTTTTCTTTTTTAAACTAGTGAAGAAGACATAATGTATCATTGTCTTCTCAGTCCGTTCAGGACATGGTTGATCATAGCCCTCCACAAGTTTTTACACCTTGTATCCTATAGTAATGCTTGTCTTTTTACCATCTATTCCTCACCCTGTTCTATCATCCAATCACACAAACTCATTAGATATGTGGTCCACTACCACCCACTGCCCATTTTACCTTTGATATGTCCTGTGAATATCAAATTTTTCTCTCTTTTCTCATATCTCCACAAACATTCAGCTATCTCTTTCTGATTCTGAGTATAAATATCTTTTTGTTTTTCATTTTACTTAAGACTTCCTCATTGTTTACATGCTCCATCTATGTTATTCTCAGTGTCCTTTTCAACTCTTCTCTTTATCTGTGAGGAAATTGTCCAGCATTCACTATCATGCTGGAGGATTAATATCAACAGTTCAGCACTATTTTCTGAATTTCTAATGAGATTTTCCCGCTTTTTGGTACTTTGCTTAACTTTTGGAATTAATTTTTTGCTATTAAAATACATATTTGAATTTCAGTGTTGCATTTTCCATCCCCTTTTAGAACAATTAGCAAAAGGGAAAAATGGTGAATTGGAAATGTCAAAGTAAAACAAGCACTGAAGCTTAAATATTTGGTTGGTTGCTCGAGTTTTTATGGCATATCAACCTCTGTAGGTCATTTAATGCCAAATTAAGTTTTTTATATATATATATATATATATATATATATATATATATATATATATATAGTACTATTAAACGTATGGCTGGCAACATTATTTTTCCAAAAACGTATTATCAGAGGCCTTGGTGTTGGACATAGTTTATAGTCATACACAGGACGCAGATATAGTTTATTGTTCTTCCCCGTGGGTAAGGTCTGGAAAAAAGTGTGAGTTCACTATTTGCCAATAGCTGGAACCCTAACAGGTGCTACCACCCCGGGTCAGGGTGGACCTGGGAACACCAGCAATTAAGAGGTGGTTCCATGCTCCTCAAAACCTCCTGATCAGAGGCCTTGCTGTTGGATGCAGTTTAACGTTAAACATTTCGGAAATGTTTTAATGGAGGATGGAAAATATGACAATGAAATTTAAATGCACATTGGAAGAGTAAAAAAAAAAAAAAAGACTTCCATTCTGCAGATGTCCTCAGGTACAAAACCCTTGTAGAAGATACTGTCTGTAATTTTGTGATTGTTACCCCCGCCCCTTTTATTTTGGGGTCACAACAATATTAACAAATTCAATTATTCAGACACCTCTTCAGAATAGTATTCCAATTTGTGTTTTATATTTCATCACATTTTTTCTTTCACTTTCAAATTAAATTTAAGTGATTCAAAACAAACTAGAGATTTTTAATGAGACTTGAACTCACATCACATACCACTGAAGCATTATGTTAAAAAGCCTACACAATCTTAATAACAAAAACCAATGAAAGCCATGTAATAGTTTGTATGCCTAATCTCTTTTCTGCCTCTTTTATGAAAAACAAGAACTAAAAAGATATTTACTTCTAATTAGAAACTGAATTTTCTGGGGTACCATGAGGGAAGAAGGCCTAGAGAATTAAATACTCACTAGACATACTGAAGATAAGAAAAGCAGAGGAAATCAATGAATCATCATCAAAAGAGTTTGGTGTGAATGGCTAGAAGAACAAGACAAGAAAGGATGGGAAATGGTTAAAAGCTACTTAGAATAACAAAAGACAAGAAATAGTAAACAGCCATGATCACCCAGTTCACAAAGGAAGACTGTGTTCCTATTGTTCATGTTTTCAATACAACATTGCAGCCAGAGAACTTGATAGTACCTGTTGCTTTGATGACATCAAGGTGATCAAATTTCAAATCTAAATTGTTAGTACTTTTAAAATCCTCCATTTAATAGTAGTAGATACCTGTTGCCCAACTCAATCCCTACTAATCTTTCAAACACCAGAAGTTTATCCCTTGTTTCTTCTTTAGCAATGGGTTTCTGGTTCCTTCTAAAGCCTTCTTTAACTATACTTTTAACATCTCCATCTAAACTTTTGATATTTTATTTACTATTTATTATTTTTTTCCTAGTCAATAGGTTCAGCTATCGTTCAGCTCACATCCCACTGTCCACTATTTTGAACAGGAGTAGAGGTTTTTTGCATGTTTCTTGTTCAGGACTGGGTTTCCAGTTCCTTCTAAGGTCTTCATTCTCTTCAGTTTAAATACTCATTAACGGCCTCATAAAAATTATGTAAAAATGCCACATATTTTTACCTATTCTCTTTTCCTGTTATCAAGGGGTTGTTGGCAGACAGATAGGGATATTAGCCTTCATGACAGAGATATACATTTCAGTTCCATTCAAATTGTCTGTATGCATGTATGTACATTTTAATTCATTAACAATTTCTGCAAAATTAAAAAACAATTTATTACCAAATAATTTTCAAAGATGTTAATAAAATTTTATATATTTATCTAATTTTATTAGAGTTTTAAAAATTAAGTTTCTTTGTTTTTTGTTTTTTCTGTCTCTGACATTATAATTTTATTGCTCAGTCCAGGGTAGGTGTTATCTAGACTGAATGTGAGGGGAATGTAATATTCTGATGTCTTATTTTAAACTTAGTCAAATTGTGTGGGTGGGTGTGTACATTAAATGTCCAAAGCACATCTAAATTGCACATGCACAACAGACATATGCTTGTGCATTACATATGCACACATGTAAAGTCACATGCAGTTAGTGACAGAGAATCAGCTCTTCCTTTAAAAAACAGATTATCAGATATGAATTGCAGTTGATAATCTCCATTGAAGCTCTTCTGGCATTTGACTCTTTCCTTTATCAAAGCCAATGTCCTTCCAAAAAACTAAAAAAAAATATACCACTCCTGTTAATGCGAACAATAGGTCTTCTTTGTAAGATCAGTGACCTCTGCAAAATTGTTGGTCTATTGATGTCATATAAAATTCATACACCAAGCCCAAGAATGTATTAGGTAAACAATAAAGACTGTTTTGGCTAGACTATGTCAAGGTTGACAAAAGGAGCAATAACATTGATTAAGCAGTACCATCAAAGTAATGTTGAGCAAATGGCTTTCTGCCTTTTTTTTTGTTTTAATCATGGAAGTAACAATTTTTTTTCTAGTGTTCATATAGAGCACAAGGAGAAGTAGTTATATTCATTTCACAAGAGTGTTAGTGTAAATTGTTTAATATTAGATCATGTGTGGATGCAGAAGGTGATTGTCTCCCTTAGGTAGAGATTAGTCACATGGGTCATGTAATGGCCACTTAGTAACATCACTGCATACAGTGATGAAAGTGACAAATCATTCAGTCATTAAGCTTATTGGTGTCATGACACATGTGTTTGTCTTGCCTGGGCTTTTGCCTGAAGCAGTCAGCTACCAAATGCTACAGCTTATAAGGTCATGGTTCCATTTTCTTTTGGGAATATATCTTCCCAGATACAGAAAAAATTTTTTGCTTGTAATGCTCATTTTGGGAAAACCCAAGACTCAGAGTTTCCCCTTTGTGGAATATGTCCTCATCTGGGACATAGATGAATCCAGCCAATTTGAATCTGGAGTCCTAAACATGGCTTCTCCAGAAACACAGAAAAATTTCCTTCCTTTTTGTTTGTCTGCAAACTTTGTAGATGTACGATATATAATTTTCTCCGTGTGCGACACTCATGTAAAGAATGTTCCAATAACTTGGACCGACTTTAAATGTGAATTAAATATAAGCGTCTAATGATTTTTTTCTCTTTCTTTCAGATTTAACAACTTAAGTCTTTGGCAATTTCAGCCATGGAAAGATTAACAATCAAACAATGTGTTAAAGTTTCAAGAGTGCAATTGGAAAAAATGTTTGTAAATTTACATTGTTCAACTGAAAACATTGCTGCAGTGCATGAGAATGTGGCCGAAAATACTGACACCACCATTCATCATCGCACGCAGGAATTGAACCGCTCCACAATATTGTTACATCATTTCCAATTCCACTCTCAGTTGGTTAATTATGTTGACCCCAAAAATTGCGAAGTGCACAAAATACATTTTTGTTTGAACATCTATTTTCGTAATAGGCTTCGATAACATTGTTTAATTGTTAATCTTTCCATCAGTCTTTTTTGAGTCCTCCTGTTTTTTATTGATGCCTATCAATTCTACTCCTCCCTAGCTATTTTGATGATGACCAAACCAAGAGTCCTCCATGGGAGTTAGGTTAAATGCTGCCCTATTAGCTGGCTTTTAAGGTAGCTTAAAATTTTAAGCTAGCTGCAATTTTGGATACAAAAGGAAAATAAGTTACTCCCCTTAAACCATGAAAACAATGATA